GACGATGTCTGGGTATTTAATTAGTATACAATTGGTGGATGGTGGCTAGCAGTGGAATCCAGGATGCGCATTTCGTCCTATTTGGGACTCGTCAGCTGGATGTACCTGCATTTCTCAGTGAGTGATGATGTTCCCACCGAGGCTCGCACCCAGTGCCCATAGTTTCAAACGCCAAAGCGTTATCCACTAGACCACTTGGGCCACGAGAGCCACCTCTTGTGCAACGGGTCATATTAATTATTGAATTGAATTTTTTGATTTTCCCGTCGATTGATTGGACCGAAGTGCTCGGTCTCAGGTTGACATGTCGGCTTCTTGTGCAGATGCTTCGACGATGTCTGGGTATTTAATTAGTATACAATTGGTGGATGGTGGCTAGCAGTGGAATCCAGGATGCGCATTTCGTCCTATTTGGGACTCGTCAGCTGGATGTACCTGCATTTCTCAGTGAGTGATGATGTTCCCACCGAGGCTCGAACCCAGTGCCCATAGTTTCAAACGCCAAAGCGTTATCCACTAGACCACTTGGGCCACGAGAGCCACCTCTTGTGCAACGGGTCATATTAATTATTGAATTGAATTTTTTGATTTTCCCGTCGATTGATTGGACCGAAGTGCTCGGTCTCAGGTTGACATGTCGGCTTCTTGTGCAGATGCTTCGACGATGTCTGGGTATTTAATTAGTATACAATTGGTGGATGGTGGCTAGCAGTGGAATCCAGGATGCGCATTTCGTCCTATTTGGGACTCGTCAGCTGGATGTACCTGCATTTCTCAGTGAGTGATGATGTTCCCACCGAGGCTCGAACCCAGTGCCCATAGTTTCAAACGCCAAAGCGTTATCCACTAGACCACTTGGGCCACGAGAGCCACCTCTTGTGCAACGGGTCATATTAATTATTGAATTGAATTTTTTGATTTTCCCGTCGATTGATTGGACCGAAGTGCTCGGTCTCAGGTTGACATGTCGGCTTCTTGTGCAGATGCTTCGACGATGTCTGGGTATTTAATTAGTATACAATTGGTGGATGGTGGCTAGCAGTGGAATCCAGGATGCGCATTTCGTCCTATTTGGGACTCGTCAGCTGGATGTACCTGCATTTCTCAGTGAGTGATGATGTTCCCACCGAGGCTCGAACCCAGTGCCCATAGTTTCAAACGCCAAAGCGTTATCCACTAGACCACTTGGGCCACGAGAGCCACCTCTTGTGCAACGGGTCATATTAATTATTGAATTGAATTTTTTGATTTTCCCGTCGATTGATTGGACCGAAGTGCTCGGTCTCAGGTTGACATGTCGGCTTCTTGTGCAGATGCTTCGACGATGTCTGGGTATTTAATTAGTATACAATTGGTGGATGGTGGCTAGCAGTGGAATCCAGGATGCGCATTTCGTCCTATTTGGGACTCGTCAGCTGGATGTACCTGCATTTCTCAGTGAGTGATGATGTTCCCACCGAGGCTCGAACCCAGTGCCCATAGTTTCAAACGCCAAAGCGTTATCCACTAGACCACTTGGGCCACGAGAGCCACCTCTTGTGCAACGGGTCATATTAATTATTGAATTGAATTTTTTGATTTTCCCGTCGATTGATTGGACCGAAGTGCTCGGTCTCAGGTTGACATGTCGGCTTCTTGTGCAGATGCTTCGACGATGTCTGGGTATTTAATTAGTATACAATTGGTGGATGGTGGCTAGCAGTGGAATCCAGGATGCGCATTTCGTCCTATTTGGGACTCGTCAGCTGGATGTACCTGCATTTCTCAGTGAGTGATGATGTTCCCACCGAGGCTCGAACCCAGTGCCCATAGTTTCAAACGCCAAAGCGTTATCCACTAGACCACTTGGGCCACGAGAGCCACCTCTTGTGCAACGGGTCATATTAATTATTGAATTGAATTTTTTGATTTTCCCGTCGATTGATTGGACCGAAGTGCTCGGTCTCAGGTTGACATGTCGGCTTCTTGTGCAGATGCTTCGACGATGTCTGGGTATTTAATTAGTATACAATTGGTGGATGGTGGCTAGCAGTGGAATCCAGGATGCGCATTTCGTCCTATTTGGGACTCGTCAGCTGGATGTACCTGCATTTCTCAGTGAGTGATGATGTTCCCACCGAGGCTCGAACCCAGTGCCCATAGTTTCAAACGCCAAAGCGTTATCCACTAGACCACTTGGGCCACGAGAGCCACCTCTTGTGCAACGGGTCATATTAATTATTGAATTGAATTTTTTGATTTTCCCGTCGATTGATTGGACCGAAGTGCTCGGTCTCAGGTTGACATGTCGGCTTCTTGTGCAGATGCTTCGACGATGTCTGGGTATTTAATTAGTATACAATTGGTGGATGGTGGCTAGCAGTGGAATCCAGGATGCGCATTTCGTCCTATTTGGGACTCGTCAGCTGGATGTACCTGCATTTCTCAGTGAGTGATGATGTTCCCACCGAGGCTCGAACCCAGTGCCCATAGTTTCAAACGCCAAAGCGTTATCCACTAGACCACTTGGGCCACGAGAGCCACCTCTTGTGCAACGGGTCATATTAATTATTGAATTGAATTTTTTGATTTTCCCGTCGATTGATTGGACCGAAGTGCTCGGTCTCAGGTTGACATGTCGGCTTCTTGTGCAGATGCTTCGACGATGTCTGGGTATTTAATTAGTATACAATTGGTGGATGGTGGCTAGCAGTGGAATCCAGGATGCGCATTTCGTCCTATTTGGGACTCGTCAGCTGGATGTACCTGCATTTCTCAGTGAGTGATGATGTTCCCACCGAGGCTCGAACCCAGTACCCATAGTTTCAAACGCCAAAGCGTTATCCACTAGACCACTTGGGCCACGAGAGCCACCTCTTGTGCAACGGGTCATATTAATTATTGAATTGAATTTTTTGATTTTCCCGTCGATTGATTGGACCGAAGTGCTCGGTCTCAGGTTGACATGTCGGCTTCTTGTGCAGATGCTTCGACGATGTCTGGGTATTTAATTAGTATACAATTGGTGGATGGTGGCTAGCAGTGGAATCCAGGATGCGCATTTCGTCCTATTTGGGACTCGTCAGCTGGATGTACCTGCATTTCTCAGTGAGTGATGATGTTCCCACCGAGGCTCGAACCCAGTGCCCATAGTTTCAAACGCCAAAGCGTTATCCACTAGACCACTTGGGCCACGAGAGCCACCTCTTGTGCAACGGGTCATATTAATTATTGAATTGAATTTTTTGATTTTCCCGTCGATTGATTGGACCGAAGTGCTCGGTCTCAGGTTGACATGTCGGCTTCTTGTGCAGATGCTTCGACGATGTCTGGGTATTTAATTAGTATACAATTGGTGGATGGTGGCTAGCAGTGGAATCCAGGATGCGCATTTCGTCCTATTTGGGACTCGTCAGCTGGATGTACCTGCATTTCTCAGTGAGTGATGATGTTCCCACCGAGGCTCGAACCCAGTGCCCATAGTTTCAAACGCCAAAGCGTTATCCACTAGACCACTTGGGCCACGAGAGCCACCTCTTGTGCAACGGGTCATATTAATTATTGAATTGAATTTTTTGATTTTCCCGTCGATTGATTGGACCGAAGTGCTCGGTCTCAGGTTGACATGTCGGCTTCTTGTGCAGATGCTTCGACGATGTCTGGGTATTTAATTAGTATACAATTGGTGGATGGTGGCTAGCAGTGGAATCCAGGATGCGCATTTCGTCCTATTTGGGACTCGTCAGCTGGATGTACCTGCATTTCTCAGTGAGTGATGATGTTCCCACG